TAAGTCGTAAACAGGTCGAGACCGCAAAATGTTCATTTCATTGTTAAAACAGCCGATGAGGTGTTCAAGTGAACAGGCGCATGTGAAAATCTCTTTGACTCTCTTCGCCATTAAAATATCTTTTCAATATTGTATATCATTGATTTGAGAAAATTTTTATGTATATTCCAAATAGCGCTGAGAGAGAAAAACTTCACTATCAGATATGCAAAATGCAAAAATGATATAGGAATAATGATAAAAAATGATAGTGGGGCGCTGCTTTTTATGATTTGCCTCACGTGAAGTGATAATCGAGCTCATCCGAATGTTATACGCGTAGATTATTGTTGTGCTTCAAGCATGCTAAACTGTGTATAAACTTCCACAAATCAACATAGAGATAATATCGTAATGCTGACAGAAGTTTGACATGCAAAAAATTTCGCTTCGGAATGAAAACGGAATTAAAAATGTGCCGCAGAGAGAAATACATTTCCAAAAAGAATAAGATCATTCATCTCGAAGCATCGCTCCGTTTTCATTTCGAATCTTCGTTTTGCGTTTAGCGAATATGTCAATATTTATCTTGTGTTTCTCAAAAGACGCACATCGTATACACAACGATCGATCGTTATCGAAGCGATTGTTCAAATCAAATGATAAACGCGAGGGAGAGGTGTTATAGCGGAATCGTTTCTGAACTTGGGGAAACGGGGAGGAGTGATGTAAACTCGGATGTACGGGGGATTCAAGCTCCATTGCGTGCAAATCCAGATGCGAATACGTCAAGTAGCGATCCTCGACCGATCGTCCGGCACGAAATACCGGTTTTCTTTGCGTAGCGCTGCCGATTTTGCGCATTTTTACCATGATTCGCAGTGAAATAAAATTGTTAGTTTGCGAGATGTAGACGAAATCGAAAAAGGGGGAGATTACCAATTGCGAGCAGTTAATCTTTATATTATGCTTGGCGATTAATTTCGTTTCTATCGAATCGAGAGTGAGAGAAAGAGTAGAGAGAGAAGCGCGCCTGGGTATATATATGTGTATGTATGTGTCGAGAAAGAGAGAGAGAGAGAGAGAAAAAGGCAGAAATTTCACAGCAACGGCGTTCATTCTCTTCGACAACCATATGCAATATAAAATTGAGTATACAGAGCAAAGCAGCGAAAACCATCTGTCCTAGTCCTAGTATTCGAACTCTCATCACCATAATTTATAACCGATTTCAATTTAAATCTAATAAAACGCGATGTTATATAATACCAAATCATTGTTTGTGTTTTTTCTCAATCACCTTCATCAATAAACTTCCCCTTATACATCTTCGTAATTATTAAAATCAAATAATCTCAAGTTTAAATGGATATCTAGTATTCACATTCGAAGATTTTTTTTTACTACTAATTCTTGCAGGATATCTAGGATGAACGAGAGGCATACTAGTATATATTTTCAATAATGTGTATGATATATATTCTATATTTTTTTTACTTTTTAAAATTCCCTAGTAAAATTATTGCAACAAACTAAAAAGATATTTTAAAAATATTCTCATTTTAAATACATAATTTTATGCTATAATTCTCAATTAGAAATGAATCAAAAACTGATTAAATAATTGAATACACATTTAGTATCAATCGCTTATAATTAGTAGTATGATTTTGTAATTAAATTGACATTATTAAGTGTGGGGAATAAATGACTCACACTTAATTTATATTTTGTGACTTTTTTATTGAATGATTCTCTAACTGTTATCAAGAAACAATGTTGTGTCTGTCATACATATTTAAAAACTGGTCTTTGTATATTAAAATTTGTTATGTGTAACCAATGATATATCAGTGTTTTTTTTTTCATTTAATTTATAATGCGCATTTCCGTTTTACAGAGAGCAAACCGTAGGTCTGTTCGTCAAGTTGCAACTTCTGCACTTAATTCTTCCCTCTTATTTGCTCCCAAAAAGACCAAATATATACATTTCATTCTTCATATATAGCACAAAAAGTGCATCTAAAACGAATAGACCTTCTGATACGGATCGATATCAGTACTCATGATGTATTTGCTAAACGAACTCTCTTTGCATTTATCAACAAGGAGTACACATATAGAAACATAAATTCTTTAATTTGATTTAAAAAATCTTGAGAGAGAGAGACAGTGTATCGTCAGGCTAAATTTATAATATTCCATTATATATGCAATCCCATATGTATATATGTGTATCTTATGTGTATGTATATACATATGCATTATACATATATACATATACATCGATATCTCATATGTTATTTAATTATGGAGCTCGTTTGATATAGCCGATACATCATGAGTCGATACGATTACTTTACATGAAAATATTTTGTTTCGTTATTACAACTTTCCAGGCCTTCGACAAGACGATTCTCATAATCCGCGGTAGTTTAATTTGTTCGTAGAACATTGTAAAATGAAATTATATAGGCCTCTCCTAACGATAGATAAATAGATATTGTAATCTTAGAGCCAGAGAGATTTTTGTAGGAATTTCGTTAAATAATATATCATTTCACATATTACTGCAATAAATTCGCATAAAGCATATAATCTCACTTCCCAATCTGTTAATATATATATCAATATATATATATATTAAATTAATATATATTAATATATTAATTAATGTTATTAATATATACGTTAATATATATTAATATATATATTAATATTTCATATATATATATATATATTAATTTATATATGAAAAAAACTGAAATAGTCAATGATTGCATGATTTTTTGACAGTAATCTATATATTTTTTCCCAAACAATATCACGTTATGTAAATTATTATACAAATGTAACTGACAAATTCTGTCGTTATGTTCAATTTATTCACATTCTTCATCATTTTTCGCGAAATACCTATAAATCTCAACGACTCTCATAAACTAAGACAGTGTATTGTGTATTTTAGGGATATTATTAGCTAAGTATAGGTAAACATTGCCTATGTACAATCGCAACATTGTTGCGTATACTACTTTTTCTTGGCAATCCTAAGTAAAGCTTACAGTTCGAATAAACTTTTTTAGGTAATTATGTTTTTTTTTATCAAGTAAGTAATAATTCTATTAGAAATAACAGTACAATATTTGACTGTACTTGTTATCGTCAGCCATTCATCAGCCATTTACACATTGCATTCCCTAGTTTAAAGTATTCTCATACATCTCGTGTATGTTTTGGTTCTCTGAGAAATAATTAGGAGAATTATTTTGCTATATTATAACTGGCCAATAAGTATATATCTGCCATTTTCCTTACATTATTATTCTATTTATCATATATACAAATAATATACAATAGTCGCGCTTAATGCAAGTAATATTAAAATCTAAACCTCAATAATGTTGTAATAGTTATATGAATAGAAACTTGACTGTGTGTCTAATTCTTCACTGTGCGCTAGCGCGTTGCACACATTGGAATATAAATACATCTTTATATAAAATCTGTATAATCTATACGTGTCGCGCTCTTTAAGTATTATATATATCTTCTTTTTTTAATCACAAAAGATACAAATGTTTATAACCTCTACACAAGCAGGGGGCCTTGGGCGGTATCACTCTGGCAGTATCTTTTCATGTATATATATACGGATTATATATATACGGATATCTGATTTTTTCATACGTTTTTATTAAACGACAAATCAGATTTATCGCTAGATTGTGCAAGAAGATATACAGAATTTATTTTCGCATGCTGAATTATTGCAATTGCAATCATTTTCCTGTGCAAATAATAAATTTAAGCGCGTCTGTATATAATTATTCTGCAATATATCTCTCCCATAAAAAGAGTTTTGATTCTTCCTCTCCTTATGTAAAATTTGATTATACGTGGATTATAGTGCGCGATTTCTTAAGGCCTTGCGTAAATATTGCTATTAACTTTCTGCAGAATTTAAATCTTTCGCTCTTCACAACCGATATATTTCCTGAAAAAATATCTTATCGGATATCATATAATGAAAAGTTTATTTAGCGGCAATAACCGCGATGTAATTTTCCCTTGCAAATCGATAATAAAAGTAAGTGTAAAAATATATAAATATATTAACCTAATGAAAATAGTTCACACATGTACATCATACAAAAATGTAGCTGTTTATGTAGCAAGTCAATTCAAAAAATTATATCAAAATGTGAAAATAAATTCTATATGTGCAAATATGTTGATGTATCTTCAGAGGTTGGCAACATTAAAAAAGCGTAGAAAACTTACTCTCCTCCTTCTTTGTCTCAAGGAGGTTTTAAATCTTGTCTCAAATAGAAAACTGCGATGTAAAAATTTCTTATTGGCAAAAAAAATAGTATAAAATGCAAATAATTGCATTTTACATACATTTGAATCTGTTTTCGAAATTAAATATGTATGTACGTGTTTGATTTCTGCATGTAAAGCTAGGATTTTTTAAAAATAATAAAATTATCAGATTTTAAGAAGCACTATGTAAGTAAATCAATTTTATGTCTTGCGTCTTATCTTGCATTTTATATCTGTAATTTGTTTATTTTTAGACTCGGCAGATACATCACGTGTGTTGTTATTAAATTTCCAGTGTGAAGCCCGATATCCCCTAGTTTTATTCATTTCCGTTTGTTTCTCTACAATCTAAAGGAAAGGAACACTATATGCACAATATTCATCATAGGTGAGAAATTCCCAACAGATGAATATTTTACTTATTTCGATTAAAATTATTTACAAAAGTATGTCTGTACAGTTTTCTTTTTCATATATAGGTCTATCATAACCTTGGATGTAAGTAGACCGATTTTCGCACAAAAATCTCATTGCAAGAACAGCGAATTTAAATGTGTAATTTGTAAATTCAATATAAATGTAAATTTAAGTGCAATGTTTAAATTAGCACAGCACAAATCCTTCTCTAAAAAAAATTTGAAACAATTTAAACTAAAAATTTTTATTTTAATAATTAGAGAAAGTAAAATGCTGTTTATGCAATAATATCTTTATCGCAACTATAGTATAGTATTTATCATATTATTATTAAAAATCGTTTCTTTAATCCTAGCACTTTAACCTTAATTTCAATAGGAATATTATAATTATAACTAAGATTATTTGTACCATTGATTAGGTGAGAGCACCTAGTGACCCCGATAAAACTTAAATTTCTTCACCGCAAATGCTCACATCTAATAGACTTCCGAATAATCCTTTCCCGTATCAGAGAGAAGTTAGAAATTAGGTATTTTGCGCAATTCGTTTGAACTGATAGAATTCTGACAAATGTGCACAAAGATAGCCCGAATTTGCAGTGAATTACCGACTCTTTCATCACTTACAAAAAGGGGTCATAGTTTGATTACGAGTACATCTTTACAAGTTATCCACTCGCCTCTTTTTTCTCTTCTTTTTCTCCTTATTCAAAGAGTGCCAATATGTCATCGCTGGACGAAGGGTTACCACTGCTAGCGCCACTACTAGGCGGAGTGTTGAGATCCGGTGGATCTAGATATGAGAGTAGTTCCATTGCGTCCACATTATCTGGCAAGAGCTGTGATAGAACAGACAACAAATTTTTTAATATCTTCTATAAATCAATTTAAGAAATATTTCGATTTAGCGCAGTAGATATGACGTAGTTATTTGACACGATGCAATACTTACATTTAACGCTTCTTGGCCGGTACCTTCGCCGTCTATAACTGCAGCGGGATCGAAATTTAAATCTGATGGTATGTCGGTCGTGGTATCATTATTTATATTCGTATTGCCAGAAGTGTTATGATTTCCTGTGGATTCTTGCGATGCAGGTGGAACGCTCGGCGGACCACTGGCTCCACCAGCCGGCGTATGAGGGGTCGATTGCGGAGTATGCGGCGTATGTGGAGTATGTGGCATCTGCAATATATATATATATATAACAAACGTCACACATACATATTTAACATTGTCGATTTTGCCGTCATTCCTTTGTGTCTATATCACTATTATAGTTAGAATACAATCGATTTTGCAGCAAAACATACCTGATCGTTGAGCGACTTTTCCATAGCATTGAGAGGATCTAAGGAATTAACGGATTCATTTAAGTGCGACAGTGGACCCGTTCCACTGACATAATCATTATTGCCGATAGTATTTGTTCCAGAATTTATCTCGTATGTTCCACCCGACGTGTTCCGATGATTTATGCTATTATTCGCATACGTGGAAGATGCATTGTTCATCATCGAACCGCTTACGATACTGTTCATATCGGGCGGTATGTAGGGGCTCATAGCTTGATTCATGTCCCAATTGTTCATAGTTGGCATATTCATACTGCCTGGCGACATAGCCTTGGTCGTTCTCTTACAATCGTTCTCTTCCTCGGACTTAATGCCCGTTAAGTTCTTTGCGGGTTTCCAATTAGCGAGCGAGTCTATCGTTACCTCGTCAACTTCCGCAGTATTTAATGTATTCAAAATACCCCACATATATTGATCAACTTCTAAGCCTTCTAGCTGTGCAGGTTTCCTGCAAAGAATATACAACAATTTATTTGTGTTTATTTTTCTTCCATTATAATTTTCAGCAATTTAGTACTTACGTGCATACTGGACACCTCCAGCTGCCTCGTTCACAGTTTAATTGCAAATATGATTCCAAATCGAAACACTGTATATGCTTGCACTCGTGTCCTCTAGCTGGCAGTGTAATGCGTTTGAAAGTGATAGGACATTTTAAAGGTACCTGCAGGTAACAAAATAGATACACATGACACTTCTCTCTTAAATCATAATTAATGTATCGCATTAGAAAATCAAATTCGGAATCAAAATGTACAAATATTTTTATAAATTTTACCTTTAGTGCTGTTTGTTCCACTACATCTTTCTCCGACTGTATACCATTGTTCGTCAATGTATTATTAAAATTCCTTTTGATTTTCGTCACACAATGCTCTGCTGTCAAGAGCCTTTTACGTAGTAATCCATGTAATACGCTTCGTACACTAGGCCGATGCACCAATTGAAGTACGAATAGATGCGACTGTAAAAAGTGTTCTTCACATCTCTTTACATACAAAGAGAAGAAAAAAAATAAAAAAATTTTTTAAAATTAAAAAAAAAATAAAAAATAAATATTTTATATATCTGATACTGAATAAATAATGTATATTTTTTTCACAGACAATATATTTGACTATATAAAGCGAACATGTCGAGAGAATATCTTTTTAAGTTATGTAAATGGCAGAAAAAATCATTTAATTATTGATAAAACTCAAACTTACACAACAGCATGCAGATACGGTAATCTGTATTGTGTTCCTTCCTGGCTGACAAACATCCTTCAGATAGAGAGGCTTGTGGGAAGTCTTGTTCTCCCCGCGATCAATCACGAGAGGAGTCGCATTAACGGAGACTTGCACACTTGCCGGCCAATTGGTATTCATTAGCCTGTCTTCATGGTGGAAACATTTGAGCTGCAGCTCAAGATCCGACCGCCACGCTAACGTTTGATGTACCGTGGGTTTCAGTTGAAACACGTGATTGCTAACAGCCAAATTGTGCTCTAGACGGAAGGGCGGAAGAATAATGCCATCTCTCACTGGGAATGTTAGTCTCAATTCATCATCTGGAACAAATAGTAGGAATTGCATTAATATAAGCGCGCGTTTCCTTATTTTACTTAATATAAACATTATAAAATACGTATATATTTTATAAAATTCAGCTTTAACTTTAACACAATAAAAACGCTCTATAATTTAAAAATAAAAAAATGAATATATTATTTTTTGAGGTTTTATATATCCTTCATTAATGTAGATTCATATTCGGAGAATATTTAAATAATTTACGTCAAAATAATAAAAAATAAATAAAACATTAACTATTCACTCACTATTTTGAATGTTGACCGGCGACTTTATTTCATTGAAATTAGGCTTGATATCCGGATTTGGACTGATGTAAGGCGGCATGCTGGTGGCGGGTGTTAACGGAGGTGTCGGATTGCCGGGAATGGGACTGTGCTGATAATTCACATTGCCCCCATTCGTCGATCTCATTGACGCTACATCCTGCTGATATTGACTGGTCGCTACGGTAGACGCGCCGTACGACGCGTTGCCGCCGCCGTATCCCGTGTTCGGTTGATGACCGACGAACTGATTGCCGACGGAGGTGGGTGGAATCATGCAAACACCGGGAACACCGTTATTGCCGTAGTTATATTGGTTCGCGGTAGTCTGAGACGTGGTATTGTAAGCCGGCGCTGTTTGCCTCATATTCGTCGCTCGTATCATTGCGCCGGGTCCGAAACCAGCCGCCGTGGGATGCATATTTTGCATAGGCTGATACTGTTGCTGGAAATTCGGCCTCACCGCATTAGGATAGTTGCTTGGATATTGCGACGCCGTCATGCCGTTGAAGCTCTGCTGCATAGCCGCTGGGTTCTGATTCGGGTATGGAACCTGCTGTCGCTTTTGCGCCATGTGTATGCTCGGATTCGGATACGGCGCTAGTCTTCGCGGGTAGCCTTGATGTGGCTGACCCTAAAAGTACAAAAATATTTATTGAAAGAAGCAAACAAATGCGCCTTCCTTCAATCGAATTGCTTCGACACAAGTTGAGAATAATTTAAGCATGAAAAATAGAAAATATAATTAAATATAAAAAATAATAATTTAAGTATGAAGAATAGAAAATCTAATTCATGAATTATAATCTTCTAGCTAATTATGTAGAAAAAAAGTGCAATTAAATTATTTAAGTTGTATAAAATAGATTATGGATAAATACCTGTAGCTTGTTCATTTGCATGTTGTTGGGTCCCATCATGTTGTTCATGGCCATGTTACCCATGTTGCTCATGGAGTTCATGGGTGTCATTCCGCTCATAGCATTCATACTATTCATGCCGTTCATGCCTCCCATTGTCATAGGATTCATCGAGTTCATGCCACTCATACTGTTCATCGAATTCATGGAATTCATAGTGTGCATTGGGCTCATCGTGCCCATGCCGTTAAAGTTGTTCATCGCGACTGGCCCCATTCCTGCCATTGGTCCTCTTTGGCCGTACCCCAAATTGTACGGTTGGGGGGGCATTCCATGTTGGCTCTGCATCTAGTAATAATAATCATTACATTTTTATTTCACCAATACCAGAAGTTGTAAAAAACGAAATAAAAATCACTCCATGCGAAAGAAGCGTATTTTTTGTTGAGTAATAATTTAAATCACAATGAAAATTTTAATTAAAAATTCATATGTTTAGAATATTACCAAATTCTTGAAACAAAAAATTGAATAGTTATAATACTCTAATTCTTACAGAATGCTGTGAAAATTAGAATTAGAATAAAAAGAAATGTCTAACATTGCTTTATTCCTTTCAACATTTTTTTTTAAAACAAAGTCTCAGAATAGGACAAATTATTCTTCTAAAATTATTTTTCTTTTGATTTTACTAAAAAAATAACAATGGAGACATTTATCAGAAATGGAATATCGATCTCATCAATCCGCGTTATTTTAATATAACTCTAGATATCATAAATGTTCTACATTACATGAATCAAGATTCTCCCTAGTCTCGTGTCATTGATAAGCATCACGAGAGCTTAAACATTTACTTGATTAAATTGCGCGGGGATATCCTGGCGGTCCTGCATGGCCACCACGCTGGCAGTGGCGGTGGCCGTAGCGGAGGCAGCTGCTACCATCGCCGCGACACGAAGTGGCGAACCACCCCTCCCGTTTTGGGGTGGCACTGTGCTATGATAGCCGGATGATAACGGCTGCACCCCGACGCCGATCGCCGCCGTTGTTGATTGTATCGTATCACCGCCAATCCTCGGAGAAAAAGCTTTCTCTCTCTATACACGACGACCAGCCTTCAACGTGGTAAATGCGAACGCACGGCTTATTGGCGCACTGAAACAGAGAGCATGACTCATCTGAACCCTCCGTGAGATAAAATTATCTTTTTGGAGAATCATAGTGTGTGTATTGGTGATAGTTATAGAAATAACTGAGTTAGAAACTGCGGAGTTGGCGTATCGGGCGAGCAGTAAAGTATGATGCAAGCGTACGATTGACGTTTCAACACTCTATATTTTAATCCTTTCTCGAATTTTATAATAATAAAATATATTCTAATGTAATAATTGTATATAGTTTATTTAAACAGCTATTTTAGCTGTTTAAAAAGTCAATATGTAAATTAGTATGGTTTCAATAATGAAAAAATATATAGAGATTATCAAAATCAATTATTTTTATTACGAATTTTCACTTATCGAGTTTTTCGAAAAAAAATTAAATACATATATTAAATGTATTTTATATATTAAATTATATATTTGTATATGTATTAATGCATTTAATTAACTAAAAATAAAAAAATCATTTATTAGCCTGTCTTCAATATTAAGCAACAAAATACTTGCTTGATTAATAGTTATTATACAACGTCAAACACATTTAAAAGGATTGGATTTACAACGACATAATGCGCAATAAATGATAATACATCGTCAATCATGTTGCCAAGAGTTTAAATGGCAGTGTGAACTTTTGCATTTGCGACAGAAAAGTGGTTACCATTTGCCAAGTCCAGATCACACTCATGCAATCGATTTCTGCTAGGAACGAACAGATTTCCGTCAATCGATACAGTCTGTATTTGGCGAATTGCATGCGCGATCTTTATTTCATAACCGACAACGTAGCAATAACACATGCTAGAATCATTTACGATACTTGAATAATTTGGGAAGGTCATATTTCTTGTGTTCGATATCTCGCTTCGTGTAAATAAATTTAAGTTTATAACAACTACGTACAATAAGAAGATTTTCACGAAAAGGGAATGTATTTCCACAATTATTTTTTTAAATAAATTTAATATTTTTATTAAATATTCTCTCATAGAAAGAAGAACTTACTTTTTTAATATTTTTAAAACATATGGAACATAATAAATGATGCGTATGAATATTGATTTATCTCTCGTTTCACGAATAATTTATATATATATTTATAATTTTTTTGTCAGTTAAAAAATACAAAAAAAGGAAGAAAAAATCTCCTACTGTATATACACAATTTTAAATAATTTTATTCATATTAAAAATAATCATGGATAGTTTAGTACTAAATTATAAAAAATATATAGATTTTATTTTTGCAAGACATTCATAAAAGTTATAGACTTGAAGAAGTACTTTAGCAAAAAAGCTGCGAATAATTTCAAAAATATTAAAAATAATTCAAAAATATCAAAAATAATCGCAGCATTCCTTTAATCGGTGATAATAGGTGTATTTTATCTAACGTATCGATACTTTGTTTTTTCCTAACGGCACTCATCGTAGCACGATATATCGCGGCGACAATCAAAATTCAAACGCACACAATTATCGATACGTTTCTTTTGAAGACAACCATCCCTGTGACGCGCACCCCGAAGGAGCGAGGCGAGCGGAGCCGAACCCCGGCCGTATTCCCAGCTGGCCACGCTGCGAGACGCGTAGCCCCCGTTGCTTTTCTGTGGGAAATGCACGTGCTCGCTATTCACACACCGAGCCGAGCCGAGCCGAGCCGCGTCGTGTCGTGTCGCGCGCGTTCATAATACGTGCCTTACCCCCGCGCGGCTGCCGCAAACACGGACGGCCGTGCGAGAACCCGGCGGGAAGCGGGGCTCCTCCACCGATGCACGATTTCCGATGGGTCTCGGACGTTACACAGGATACTCGTACTTTGCGCGAGAAGCCTCGTCGCGAAACACGAGGAGGCGAAAGAATGAGATACGCGCGAGCGAGCATTCGTACTCGGGACAAACATGCGAACGTCCTTATATAAATCGCTAAGATTATTTATTACAAGCAAAAATTCAGCGCAAAAATTGCCAACATTTCAGAAGAATTTTCTAAATTTCTTTATACATTCCTCTTGATCGCAAGTATTTTTTTAACGCTAGCAAATGAATTAAACGAGTGAAATTACTCTTGGAAGAGATAAGAGAATTCTCTTCGAATTTATCGCACTACCTGTGGGAAATTGCAAAAGAAATATAAGAGGCCCATTATAAGGTAACGTGCGCAATTTTTAGAGAAATCTAGATAATGAAAAAATATATGGCTGAAAAAAAAAGAGCTACTACAGTTCCAAAGGACATTTTATGCAGAGAGAGACCCGCGTCTAGAAGGGTCCCCTCCAATTGAAATGTTTGGATCAATAACATAAGTCATACGAGCATGTTGAATAGGTGGAAGTTTTATACGACTTTCTCTCACACGATTCATGTTATTTATTTTGCCTTATCGTGCTATTTCGAATGTATCCTTTGGGAGAAATAAAATGCATTTCATAAACTCAAGTGCAAAATGCAACATCATACATTTGGAGATCTGATACGAACTCTTTTTTTGTCACGTATATGCACGTTTCTCGAATCGCGATAGAAATTACTGGCTGCGCTAACAGGTTCCCGAGAGTGCAGCAACTGTTGCACGGTAACTGTATAATAAATGTTACCAGAGACGAGTACGAGTGTTTAAGAGCGTGTCTTTGCGATATCAGATTACCACGTGCGTACGGTGAGTTTTGCGCGTGCCCGCAGATATGTAATGCTGGCTTTGCGCAAAAGCAGAAACGCATCGCGGTCCTTATCTGACGTTACTTGATTTTCCCTTTAAACCGCGTAAACTTTCACGTGGGTCTGGTCTGATTTTTAATAACACATCTGGAATTCCCAGGGATTTTCACTCTGAAAAATCAAGAAATTTTCATGGAATTTTATTGGAATTTTTAGAAAATTGCTTCTTTGATCATTTTTATTTTAATATTGTAAGTGATCAGCAATCTGCTATTACTGCTATTGAAACTCTCACTCCAACATCAGTATATATTATTTAATACATAAATATTTATTTTAAAAAATATATTTAATAGAAAATTTGAAATTTTTCAGGCTTGAAATATATTAAAATGTTTTATTTATATAGAATTTAAAGTTCACGCACAATAAATAAACTCACTTTAAAATTATATTTATAATTTTATAAATGCTTTAATTTTATCTGGAATTTTAAATATACATATCTCAATCATGAAATTCTCACCGAATTTATTTACAAAAGTTAAATATATTCCCTGTAATCGACATTTATACACATACATTTCATGTAAATCAATGTCTTTTTGACTGCGAATAATGTAAGTTCAGAAAGATAATAATTTTAATCGCAATTAATATGTGGATACAAAGTTATTAAATTGATCAAATTGACTATAATCAATTAATCTTTATTAAATAAAAAGGGTAAAAAGACATTTCACTCTCTTTTCATATGTACTTATTGCCAATATATGTACACGTAATAAGTCATATCGTATTTCGTAAGTAGTGACTTCATAGATTAAGTATAATCATTTAATTAGTATTTACAATAAATGTGATGTACTAATTGTATTTTTTAATATCGTTCAAAAACATTGTTTGATGTACATAATTTTTAATGTAATATTATCAATGTATTGTTTATCATTACAAATTTATTTTTTGCTTTTACTTGCATATAATAACGGTGAGTGAGATTGGAAAGTAAGTCGGATTTTAAGAGATCTCACTCGCAGACTCGCCTCCACTCACTCGAGCTTAGTGTATTAACACTCTTAGTCGCTTGAAAGCAGTTTTCTTATGCTTAGTCATTATACTTTCTCTGTGCGGTTTTTTAAATTTAATTCAACATATTTGCGCTGAAAGATACGAAAATAATCTGTTTAATACCCTCTTTCGATTAATTAAAAGCCAAGAGAATAAGTTCCTCTGCTTCCAAATATTCTTTAAAAGCTTTTATTACAAAAAACATCATTTAAAAACTTTGGATGAAAAGTAATCTTATAATGATGGATTTAACTAATATTTCATTCACATTTTAAATATTTTTGTGGCGCAATCGATTACAAAAACAGTATTGTTGGAAGTAAAATAATCGACCGATTCCGATAAGATATAGATTTTCCACGCATTTTTCGAACTCCTGATAAGATAATGCGTATCCTCTGACTGAAAAATTCGAATATATTCAGATATTCTTCGAACCAATGCACACCTCATCCCCCAATTCTTCAAGTTTAGTAGATTATTCGCCGCTTATATTCACGACAAACTCTTATCTACACCTGATAATTATTAATAGAGTGCTCGAAGGAATCGATATCTCAAGTATATTTAATCGAATCTTTCGGACGTCGCGTGTCTAATGGATTAACGTTGTCGCATTCGTCGATAGAAAATCGCGTCTATTTCGTCAACTTTTAAGAGCGTAAATCAGCTGTTTTTGACAGGTTTGACGTGTTTTACTACCGGTTCATTTCACAGGTAACAGGTTGGCGATTTATTTTACCTCCGCGCGGCAAACAAACGTGAGCGCGATGAAATGCACGAAGACAAAACAAAATCGGGTTAGGTTCTTGCGCGAGTGAAGCAAACCCAGCGTATCCAGACGCATATGTCAATCGTTTGCAAAGCAATTTTTTCATTATACGTCCGCGGGAACTTGAGAGCCCCCCCCCCCTTCGCCCTCCTTCGCCTCTCTCTTTCTCTCTCTCTTTTTCGTCACAGATTGGCACAAAGAAGGTTCTCCGCACACGCGCTGTCCTCGAGACACGATTATGACGCTCGAACAAAAACAAATTTAATAGCCTCTTCGTTCAATACGGCGTGGCGAGTACGGGAGCACACACGTACGCACGTCTGTGATCTACGAGGAGGGGGCGAGTATCAGGGACGTTCAACAGAGCCTAGGAAAATGTTGGGGAGACCGAGCGATCGATTAACACGTGCGCTTTAAATATTTGAGAACTGCATACAAAAAGTATTCGCAGAGATGATCACAAGCGACGTTGCTAACGAGTCTTAATAGATT